GCAAAAGGTAAAGCATGAATCTGAAAATAATGCAGAAAAATGATCAGAGGATATGGATAACTTGCCAAAAAGAAAACGCTCTCGGTTAATTAATAGTGTTTTTAGTGATGACGAAGAAAACATTGTTTATTTTATATTAATATGTATCACTTAAAAAATTTTAATGAAGAAATTTATCTTAATTATGAAAATATAATAGCATGTTTTTTAATTTTTGGAACCTAACCCTCCTTTTTGTATTAGTTCTTTGTTTCGTATAACACGGATTCGCATAACATGGCAATTTTTTGGAATGTAACTACCGTGTTATACGGGGGTTACCTGTAATGTAATCAGTTCCATTTACATGGCTGTTCAATAGTGTGAAGCCAATCTTACTGAAAGTAGAGTTACAATTTGCTCTGATAGTGCTTCAGCAATCAACACACTTAGGAATCCCAACAACCTTCACCCTCTGGTTAGGAAGATTCTAAACCATATACCTTGTGCTCAGAACTCCTATTTCCTTAAATGGGTGAGAGGTCATCAGGGTGTCCTAGGTAATGACCTTCCAGATCTACTTGCCAGGAGGCTGCAACAATCAGTACCTCTGGCCCTTTCAAGTATTCAGTGCTACCTGCTTCTTTTCTTAAGCTCCAACATTGGAACTACAGCTTGGATCTCTGGCAGCAGAGATGGGATAGCAACAATTGCCTTGCCAGTAACTTTTTTCATCTATTCATGACCACCTTTTTTACCACTGGGTTAGTCCAGACTTTGAAGCCACCCAATTCTTCACTGGGCATGGGAGATCCCGGACCTACTACAGAGATTTGGCAAATCTGCAACGGACATCTGTAATTGCTGTGATGGGGTTGAGCACTATATATACATGTGTCCAATGACCGAGGATGCTAGGCACGAGCTTGCCCTTGCTCTTAACCACAGGGGTATTGGCCTTGTGAACTTCATGTCCTTCTTAAGGATAATGACTCCTACAAAGCATTCAAAAAATTGATTCATAAGTATCACATACGCTCCATCATTCATTAAGTTGGTCAAGTCTGTCATCGGACACTATTTTCATTTGCTCCCTGCACGTTATCTACATATCATTATTGTTCTGCTGCGACATATATCTGTGTAATGTTTATTATTACTATTGGTATTGTCTGTTTTATACTATTGTACATGTTATTCCACTCTCAAGTTATGGATCATATCGGTTGATTTGTATTGGTCATCTCACCATCTGTTCATACTTCTCTATTGTCATACTGTTTGTACGTTATCTCTCTGTTATTATGTATGTATTTACCTGTGCTTTGATATATCTCTATTTAACCCAATTATGCTCTGGTGGTATTGGGAGTAAATAAAGATAAAGATAAAAAAAAAAGGTAATCAGTTTGTAATTTGTAAAGAAAAATTACTATGAGATTTCTTCTCAAGAAATATTGCTGAGAGAAGTAGCTGCAGCTAATTCAAAAAGTGGAGGGCAAGGTTATACCCACTGTCATTGCAAAAAGAAGTGTTCCACAAATAAATGCAGTTGTAAAAGAAAGAGACTCTTGTGTAATTCAAAGTGCCATAACAATTTAAGTTGTTGCAATAAATAAGATTATATAACGTTAATAACATAATTTATGTGTAAGTTTATTATTGTATTATTTTCTTTAATGATTTAGAATGTACTGTTCGTTTTAGGTTCAACAGTTTATTTACATGTGCTGTTACTAAAGCTTTCTCCTATTTTGACATATTAAAAAGTTGCATTTTTGTCTTAACATAATAAAGATATTTTTATTCAACATTCACATCAGTGCATGCTGAATGTCGACATTTGCTGGTGTAAGTGAGAAATAATGATATTTAGCAAATATTTCATACATACACGAAATGACTGTGTGAATGCTGACATTCCCCAGATATTGGTCATTCACAGTAACATATATATATTGATTCAAATATAAATTTAAATTTTTTTAACATTGTTTGTTTTTAATTTTATTACAAAAATAACTGTATACCTATACCTACCCATGTTAGTTTTAATCTATCTTCAAATTTATTATTTCTTGATGTGAAAGAAATCTTAAAAATTTTATAAATGTCTTAGAATTCAGTCATTTATGTTGGCTATAATTGTTATAGTAACTCATAGATCTATGCAAATACTCTGTATACGAAGATAAAATCATATTATTGTATGTCCTTTTAATTTTATTATAAAAGGAATTTTTTTAATCAACACTTTAAACATTTTTACTTTTATACAGTTTATACCACAGGTTCCCAACCTATGGGTCGCGACAGGCTTTCTGTGGGGTCGCCAAGTTATACAGTAAACTAAAAAAAAAATATTCACTATAATGCAATTTTTATTTTTAATGGTGTCTTGAAGTTTGAATAATTTCATATATTTTTTTTAAATTAAAATAAGTGTAATCTAGGTATGCTATTCTGTCGCAGTTGGTTGAAACATGTGTTGAGAGTTTGAGAGGAATAAATTAAATGTTGAGAATGACATGAGATTGGCGTTAAGAAAAGCTCACCCGCGAATTTTGAAACTGGTTAATAACATGCAATTTCAACCATCGCATTAAATTACTAAACAATTTAAAATAAAATTATAGTAAAAAAACTAATTTCGTTGTTTTTTTAATTACCTTATTAAAAATGTCTTTTTCAATTGTATCGGGGTCGCGGGACACTTGGCTTTTATAAAAAGGGGTTGCCACCCGAAAAAGGTTGGGAACCGTTGGTTTATATAAAGTTGATTTATCCAATGGTCACTAACATTATTTTAATAAACAGTCAAAGATCTGTAATAAAGGATTTCTTTAGTTTTTTATTACTGATATAAAAGAAGAGTAGAAGACCTGAAATGCACTTTTTTTGCATAATAAAGTTTGCATAGTGAATTACCAGTGTGTTTCTTGCATGATTTAGTTTTCTTTGGCAAAATTTATGCTTATCACTAAAGGATGTTTTTCTATTAGATGATCCATAATTTCCAATTATTATTTATAGTAATTTTTTCAAAGTAACAATTTTTCATTTCTGATATTATTCTAAATAATTCTTTCAATGTAGTAAAGAAAGGTTATTTTTCAATGTAACAAAGATTTAAGAAGTATTTAGTATCATACTGTCCAGTGCTTTTGACACCTTTTGTCAGTCTTTTTATCTGTTAGTTAATTAATGACTAATGCATAATAAGTCTTAAAAGCAATTGTCACTGTAGAAATATTAAAGAAACAGTAAATGGCTACTAGGTATTCTGTGATAAATTTTTATTCTAAGTTACAATTCATTGTATTTTGTTCCAAAGCAGAAAAGATTATTGTTTAACAAAGAATATGATGTGTAATATAAACATGTTCAATTCTAGTAGTAAATTCTATTGTCTCTTTAGCTCTTGACTAGAGTCCTAAAATAAATCCAGGATTCTACAGATAAGAAAACAATTAATTTTTGTGAAATTTAAATAAAAATAGAAAAATGTAGGTAGTTTAGAAATATGTGGAGACAGTCTATTAGTTATTGAGATTAAACTGGAAATAAGTGGGTTTCAGATAAGCCCAAATACAAACAAAGTTTAATATATAGATTTTAATTCTTTTGATTTTCTGTTTTGCAGTAACTAAAAAAAAAGCCATACAAGCATATACAGCAAGTCCTTACTAAATGTTAGTCTTAAATAAAGTCTTACTAAACTATTATAATAATGTTGTTGAGGAAAGATAAAAGTACATTTGTATTCAATTACAATAATAGTTGTTAAATTTTCTTTGTAAACAGTTAAATTTATTTTATGAGATTTTACTATAAGCTATTGGTTTAGTTACATATTTTTGCTTAATGTTGCAATTTCTAAGAACTCATTGACACTATTAAGTGTTAACTTGTGACATTTTATTAGTAATTACTGTGATACCCCGAACTTACGCGATAGGTGGGACCGAGCGATAACCGCATAAGTCAAATTCACATAAGTCGGGTATAATTTTGCAATTTGTGTAAAATCCAAGTCGGATGTATGTAAGCTAATAAATGTTCTCGTTAATCTTATCTCGTCTTTTGATTTGTTCACGGTTAAAAGAAATCATCACATAAAGTCTCTCGAGTCTCCGTAGATATCACAAACACAGAAATAAATAACACAAAATAAATTGTAGCTATGTGTCGATTCCGCGTGATAGGTCCAAACATGTAAGCCGAACAATAGTGTGAGGGGAGTGAGTAATCGAGAGTTGCGTGGCGCTCAAACAAAAGAGGAATTGACGAGATTTGAAAATCGTGTAACTCCGGGTTCGCGTAAGTCGAGGTATTACTGTATATGTTATTTTACCTTTCCTGTAAATATTAGAGACATTTTTTTCAAAACATACAGTAACCTATGCATATTGTTAGATGATATATAAAATTTTCATACAAATACAGTATTTAAAATAAGGTATCGATTAATCATTTAAACTAGCTTAGACTGATGTATCAGTTAGTACAAAACAGATAAATAATAATTTAATTATGTCAACTATTGCTTTTGCTAGTAAAACAATTTGTATTTTTATATACATGTTCTTGATATGTATTGAAAAATGATATCAATATTTTAAATGTATTAGGTAAACTTTAATAAATTTATTGTTTAAGGAATGTTTTGTTTTTCAGTTTACATAGGCATTGTGTTGCTGCATCTGTAATAAATATTGATAAGCCATTTAGAAAGGTATAATTTTATTTATGAAAATACATTGCATTAATAAATGTTTGTTGTCATACTGACAAATTTTTATTTTATTTACTTTAGGAATTATCATATAAGGACAAGTCCAATCAGTTAAATAACAGAGTAGTAAGTATAATTAAAGATAATATGAAAGATGTAGAAAAATCTTTTACAGATAGATTTGATTTATAAAAATGCTTTTAAATTTAAATTGTTTGTTAAATTTTTGCAGCAAAATATGACATTAAATTTAAACTCAGAAAACAAAAGGCACAATGAACTTGAACATAAAGACTCTGAAACTTACATGCAAACAAAAGGACCTTTACATAAAGCAAGGAAACATTTGAAAACATTTATTGGAAGAAACAAGAAACCAGCTTCTCTTGATGAAAGTGAAGATTCTGGACCAGAAGACTTAAATTTATATGATGATGGTTGGTCGAATTTCTTGTGTAATGAATATATTGATAAAATTTGCTTGAATATTAATTTTAAAAAACTTTCAGGAAATACTGAAAATCTAACAAATGTTTCAACATTACCATCAAAAAAACAGTTACATCGTACTGATAACAGATTTAGGCATCGTATGAAAACTGTTACTTCCTTCCACAAAGGTGAAATTTGCACAGGATGTGAAAAAAGTATGACTTTACTTTTTTCTCATGGTTATAAATGTACAAGTAAGTATGCAAAATTACTAATATTTCAGTATTAAATTGTTTTATTTAATTTTTCACTATTAAATTTTCATATTCAGGATGTAAGCATTTATTTCATTCAAAATGTATTTCACAATCAAGTCGTGTTTCTTGTGACAATGTTAATCGAGTAAGACGCACACCTAGCAAATTAAACAAAAATAATAAAACGGAACAGTTGCCAATAACTTCTTGGAATGTAACTCGCACATCAGAATTTCGTGATCCAAGGGATATTATTGTTACAGATGTATCAGAATTGCAAAATATGGATGATTTCATCTTTAAAAAGGTTTAGTTATTTATTTTCTATTTATTATTTTTATACAGTAATAATGATAATGCAATAATAGTGTATATAAGATGATGGAAATTAATGTAAAATACTGATTTAATAAAAATAAACAAACTGAAATATGACTTGTAAATACTTGTTACAGATTTGAGGCATATAGTGTAATACAATCAATATCGTTTATTAGATACTATAATTAGTACATTCCCGGTACAGCCTAGCATTGCCGGGTATGGTGTAATACAGGCGACCCCCCCCTTATAACACTGTTGATTTTTCTGTTTTATATGAATTCCATGTTGTACGAGTCACTTAGATTTTACAAATACGTGTGCCGGGTTGTGAACGGCTCACATATATTTAAAATCTAAGTGACTCGTACAACATGGAATTTATATAAAACGGGAAAATCAACAGTTTTATAGGGGGGTCGACTGTACTATACTTGAACTAAATTTTGAGATTCATAACAAATTCAAGCTCAAACATATTAATATAAAATTTCATAGATAATAATTTGTTAAAATAACATAAATCTGTAAATTTTTTTTTCTAGTTGTGTCAAATGAGTGGAAATAATGAACAGAAAGATTGTCTAGTTGATGTTGTTTTTAAAAGATCTTTAAGAGAATTTAAGTTCAATCTTATAAGTACATATTCTGTAGCTGCAGCACAAGTAAGAAGTTTATTGATCATAAAATTTATATTCTTGTGTATATTTATAATAATTAAATGATTGATTAATTTTTCTTTGACACATCAAGGATGGCCGTTTATGTATTTGCTATAAAGATCTAATAGATAATTTTGAGCAAGTTATGCAAAGTGTTTGTCATCAAGAAAACACTAGTCAAACATTCCCTGTAATTATGGGTGTAAATGCATTCCGTGGCTTTCTAGATGAATTTAGAAATTTATATAGGAATGAAGAAAAAATTAAATCTAAAGTAAATATTATGTTATATATTATCCATGTAAATACTTTTTATCAAAACTAAACTATATTATTTCATTTAAAGGGGAAGAAAAGAAAACGAAAGAAAATGGAATTATCAGTGAGTATAAGTATATTTCTTCAAATAATTGTAATTTGGTAGTATAGTACTTACTTGATATTGAAAAATTAAATTAGTAAATGTGATTCTAATTTTATATGTACTTACATACAATAAAACTTTCCTAACTCGATACTCTGAGGGGTAGGAAAAAACTTTGAGTAACAGACGCTTCAAGTTGGAGAACAATAGAATAAAAAATGATGATTTTAAATAGATTTGTATTTTTACCTCTTGCATTATATAAAGAATCTTTGATAGTGGTTGTTTTTGTCTTAAACAGCCTGTGTAACACCTTTCAACAAAATGTTCAATGTAACTAATGGAATTAAACAGTCTTGCTCTTGTTAAGCAAGAGGAGGTCGTCTTGCTTTTTTTGAACTGGAACATTGTCTGAAAATTGGTGTTGGATACTAGATACAACTGTCTAAAAATTTCAAGGAAATTCAATAATTAGGATCAGTTTGAATAGAATGAGTATTAAAATTCAAGTCAGGGAAGTTGAACGTAACATAAATCAGAGTCAGAACCATGAAAAACATTGACTTGGAGAAAATTCAAGTTAAGAAATTCAAGTTAAGAAATTCAAGTTGGAGAAGTTAAATCCCTATGCTATTCCATTGACCTACTAAACCTACTAAAGTACAGTAATACCTCACTTAATGTGGGGGATAAGTTCCTAGATGACAAAGTTCTAAACAAAACAGTGTCATTTTAATATAGAGTAAATAGGGAAAGGGGAACGTAGAACCAAAAATAAACAAATTTTACTTCAATTTTAAGTTATATTATTAAGAAAATTAATATAATAATATGTTAAATAACACACAAACATGTGTTAAAAATTTTAATATCTATCTTTAGGAATATATGGGTCATAAATTCATGGCTGTTGTTATAAACATTCCTACTGCTTGCGAAATATGTTCTTCTTTTATGTGGTTAATGGAGAAGGGATTAGTCTGTCAAGGTAAATAATAATAATAATTACAT